CCCTACATATGAAGTTTTCACGTGATGCGGCGATCCCGAGGATTCCAGCCCCTCACTTGCTAAAGCAAGGACAACTCCAGCTAGCTGGTGCTAGCTTTCGTGATTATGGATGGCAGATTAAAGAAATAGTGAATAATAATAATTCTGCCATCCCAAGACCATTAAATAATATATAAACGATTGCTTTTTTATTCATGATTTTGTTCATTATAAAAAAGCCATTAATTATAAATAAAAAATAAATAATGCATGACCAAAATCCAAGAATAGATCCACTTTTTTATTGCATGCCATGGATTTTGGTCATTAATATAAAACAAATTGGATTAAGAAGCCCAAAAAAAGACTGTTTCTCTCAATTCTTTCGCCATTTTGAGACAAGGAGCCTTTGGCGGCCGTATCCTCCAGGAGAGTCTTCACATTGCCAGTCCTATTGGGGCCGGCGGTTCAAGACTTGTACATTCTGCCAGCAAGCATTGCCTCCCAGCATGGGTGTCTAAGATGCCAATTTGGACTGAGTGCGCCTTCGGTGTGCAATACCCCCAAAGGGAGCAAGAGTGATGAAAGGTCTGATAGTACGAACCTAGACACCTCACAGCTCTGAAGGCTTGTCTAAGACTTGCATGATCATGGAAGGATCTCATTTTCCAACTGTGAGAGTTCACCAAGGCTGCCCGGGCAACAAGCACTCCATTCTCATGAAAGCTACAACATCCTTCCACTGACCTCATTGTCCCGCCCAACCCCGGCCATAAGCCCAGGCCCCTTCCGATCCACCGGCGCTCCCGAAGCGGTGGTACGGGTGCTGCGGGTTCGCACGACTATTCAGCACCTGGTGACGAACTGTCGAAGGGACCGTTTTGGAGTGCTGTGAACTCTCGAAAAGCCCTATAGTATACGAAACACGAAGACGGCGATGGGGTTGAGGTTCTCCCCCTGCTTCAACAGATGCATCCAGTTTTTCCACTAGGTCCCGGGAAAGAGTTACGTCAATCTTCTTCACTCAGCTCGACGCAGCATCCAACCACACATCCAACCGGTGCGGTTGAATTCCGCGAATTGGTTCGTCAGAAATCAATCTAGTACAATTGCGGAGGTCCTTGCCGAGCGCCGCTTTTTGTGTGCTCAAATCCACAGTACTCCCCTGCGAGCCACATGGAACCCCCAAAATAGAGGCCACTCAGGCTTTCGGTAGGCAGTTTCCTGAACTATCTAACTTTGAAGTGTGGCAAGGGAACTCCCAGTGATTCCGGGACCTAAGTCCCAGCAGGGGCTGATTCCGTCTCTGACGCAAGTCCGCCAAGTCCACAGAGTCCACAAGGCCAGTGCCACAAATCTGGTCTGAAAAGCCTGAACGGACCAAACACCGACCTCTACTCCACACCAGCCGAACCCACCCGTCCCCTCTGGCCCCGTCCCCGGTCCCGACCCAGCCTGGCCCAAGCGGTACACATCGTTCGGCCTCAGCGCGCGGTCACCGGTTCCGCCGGACGAGGAGCGAAACGAAAGGACTTGAAGACTCGATTCTTGCTCCGTTCGGAAGCAAGCAAAACTCATCGCTCAAATTGAAGAAATGCTCCAACATCGCCAGTGCACCAGCAAGCAACTCGAAAAGTTCACGGGACTGGCCCTGTGGGTGGCCATGCCCTTTGTTCCTTACTCGGCACAAGGCCCAGGAGCCACTATTTAATCGCATCCTTGCTGGTAGCGATGGCCTCCACCCTGCCTGGAACCAGCACCACCCGGGTTGGGTGCTTTTTTTTGACCCCCCGCTGAAGATGTATGGTCCATCCAATCACCACCCAAAAGGGCTGGAATGCATTCATTGGTTTTCATCTGAAAAAAAGGGAATCCAACTCCTCCTCAGTTTGTGGGAAAGGAAGGCTGAGCAGCAGAGATCGGAAGGCTCTGCGAAGATCCTAGACGTCTTCCTGCGGGAATGGTTGAGACATACTGGCCATGAGTCGTTGGGTGAACTCGACCCATCCGGGGTTTGGCTTTTTGTCTCCATGTCCAGCCCCCTAGTATTCCACAGCAGTCGATTCTCAGGCACCCCCTCACCCTGCAACCCAAAGTGTTTGGGCGATCCGAACTTGCCACAAAACACCGAGATCGAGAACGAAGGAGGCCAAAACTAAAACAGGGAGACCCGGACCCGGTGCATTCGCGGCCGTGGGAACTACCAAAACTGAAGGGATGAACAGGTTGGAAGGCGGAGGGTGGCACAAATGGCCATCGCCGGTGGGTCCGGCCTCGGCGGACCGGAGAAATACATCGATGAAGGGATGGCCCTGAGGTCTGCTCCGGCGCTCACAGAATCGGCTCCGGCGGGCTCCGATTCTTTTTGATCCAGCCCGCCATGACATGCACACATGGGGTTGACCTGGCCCAGACACCATCTGTTTTGATTGGAAGTCGGATATCTTTGGGCGATTGGTGGTCCAAAATAGAGGTCACGTATATGGACGGTAGTCGTTCATGGTCGGTCGTTTTTTGGGCACCTCATCCAGCTCAATGGGCACTCCACAGGTTTGGCGCGATCGAGTCTGTATAGAGGGATCGATTCAATGCAAAGGTGAAAAAAAAGACATACTGACCTTGAGCACAGACATGGTACCTGAATTGACAGAGTTCTTCTCACGTGGGGTATGGCCATACCTAATCAATTCAGGTAATGGCGGTTTTGCTCCACTTGTCGAATCAGAAAAATAGGACGTCGCAAAGAAAACCATCCGCTGGCAATACTACCTTTGTGTGAAGATGACGCATGGATGACCCCTCACCACAACGAAAAAACAATAATTATGATCAGTGGAAAATAGAGGTCAAGGGAAATCGACCCCAAGTCATACTGCACCCACTCTTCCAACCTGCATCTTTCCTTCATCACCTGAAAGTGATCACTTTTATGTACAATGTATCTGTATCTGTGTCACTAGTTCACTCATCTGCGGTGCCTTAGTGATCCAAAACCGTTTCTGTCTTTCACCCGCCGAAACCCGTTCGGACAGCACTTCGTCGGCCAAGCCACACATTCTTTTGGTGCTCGCTATTGATGGCATTCACCTGCCAGCAGGCATTAAAGACTCAAGGCCATCCTGGGAACTGTTGGGGTTCCCCTACAAACCGACACACACCAGTAAAGCACAACAAAACCTGCTTAACCCCAAATCTAGTGCGCTGAGACAACGCGAATCCGCACTATGGTTTTTTGATACCACTCACCCATCAAAACTGTGCTCGGGCCATCCCCCGGGCTTCACTCAACACCCGCACTTCACCCCCATCCACTTCCGCCGCCGCCGGTGCCGGCGGGCGCGAGACCGCGCGCCTCGCGCCCGGTGGCGCTCTCGGTGAAGAGCGGCGCCCGGAAGAAGGCGCCGAAGCGCTGCAAGGCGCCGGCGAAGCCGTCGGTGCCGCAGCTGAAGAAGAAACAAGTGTCCTGGGGGGTGGCGGCCGCGGTGGACACCTGTGCCACTTTGGGGATCCTGGAAGGACGGGTGTGGGTCGTCGTCATTTAGCATTGTTTCTGCAATCCTGGAATCTATTAACCAGGGGGCAGAACCATGACCACTCACTGAACAAACTGCAAACAGGTTTGAACTCGAAAAGCTGCGGGCGGTGTTCTGATTTTCCGAGAAGTTGCTGGCATGGGGTCTTGGCACTAGCATTCGTGAACACCATCGGAAAGATCTCTCAGGCAACGAGGGACCCACTTCGTCATGAAGTGCTCTTCGCGGGCGCCCAAGTTGAGCCGGTGTCACACCAATTCCGAACAAACACAGGTTTCACAAAACCTCCCTGGCTCACCTCTACAGGTTGAAGTCTTAAAAGGCATATGGGCGTGCCTACCACGCAAAGCAAGGGTGGGAAAGCGCGGGACCTTTTCTGAATGGCTGTTCATCGACTTGACAAATAAAAGGGAAGAGACTGAACAGTTGTCATGAGAGTGACAATGAGGTACCAGCTTACCTACCGAACACCTGTGCACCACTCACTGAACAACCCCGCAAACAGGTTTGCTTGACTCGAAAAGCCGCGAGCGGTGCTCCGATTTTCCGAGAAGCCACTGGTATGGGGGCGTGGCACCCAGTAGATCCATCAACAGAATCTTCGTGAACAATGGAAAGATCTCCCAGGCAACAAGGGACCCACTTCGTCAGGAAGTGCTCCTCCCGAGCGCTCGAAAAGCTTGCGCCGCTTGTGGCGCTCGCCACATTCGCGGTGTCCACAGAGTTCGGGGGGCAGGCTTGATTATTTGAGCGCTTGAGCTGCAGGTTCGTGTTTCTATCCCGCAGTTCAAGGTGAACCAGAAGATGGCCATCGAGCTTGATCTTCAGCTATTCTCCGTCATTGGTCATTGGTCGCCATCTACATGGCTGGAACGCAGCATGACTGAGATCTTCGCCAGACAGCGAATCCCAGCGAGCGTAGCAGATCCGCATAGTCTTGAACAGAAAGATGTTCAAGTGATCATCGCTGGATGGGGTCCTGACCAACGACCTGTCACACGCCCGGGGACAGGTGTCTCATATTGGCTCTCTGGCGCTGATGGCATGGCAGGATCCGCTGAAGAGATGTTGGCCAGAATCCTCGTCAACTCGAGTCCAAGAGCTCACCGATGAAGCATCGCCCCGGCAAGCAGACATGTTGTACACTTGCCGCTGGCGGGCCGCGGGCAGTGCCTTCAGCCACCATGGTCGCTCCCAGGACCGAACTGAAAAGCTTATCTTTTTGGCTTGGCGATTGAACTCGCAGAGAGCGAGCAAATGACGTACATTTTGATTTTTGGTTTTGCAGTCACTTGCAGCCGCTTGCAGCCACTTGTCACTCAAGCAAGTACACTTCCACTTTGAGTTCAAAACTGCAAGATTTATGTGAAAATACGAGCTCAATGTGAGCTCGCCAAAATGGCAGCGTCGAGCGACGCGTTTTCGATCGAACTGAATGACTGTTCATCGAATTGAAAAGGAAAAGGGGGAGACTGAACAGTTGTTATGAGAGTCACACCCAGGTACCAGCCTACCTACCGAACACCTGTGCACCAACTTTAGGGCTGTCCTGGTGCAAAAAGCTTTACGTCAGGGAGACGATCCGACAAAAGGGGGCCAAATCAACTCCAGGGCCAGCGATCGACGGCTGATCGACCTAAGAGCCCCTCATCCAGAAACTGCAGGGTTTTATGTTTATCACTTATCCCCTTCTCCGCATTTTCGGTCCAGTGCAAGTTTCACCACCTTTGTGAAGTCGGAACGAAAACGACTTTGGAGCCAAGACCTCTGCCACCTGTGCCACCTGAGTGGTTTCACCTGTTGGATGGAAACCGTCCATTTTTTCGATGTCTGATCCTTCCTACTAGCGATGGCCTCCAACCTAAGTGTCTCATCCTTCATCTCCAAGTGAATGGCTCGATGCTTCAGGATGCACCATGGACCTACTGAACCCCCCAAGCGGCCAAGCTGTAAACACCTCCGGACTCCGCATGTCACACCCAGAACCCATGGCATCTCCACAAATCCAACATGCCTGTGCTTGTCGCACCAGACCGACCCGGCGCATCACATGGTCGGACTCTCCTCCGCTTCGGTAAAAGCGTTCGAGAAGCCGCTATTGGCCGTGAGATACGCGTCGAAACCTCGGGTCCGAGAAGCGCGCTTGCGGATTTCCGGACCGAAGCGGACGACGAAAGGGACGACACGTCGAATTCATTGCGTCGTCGCTTCGAAGGATTCGACGAATGGGTCTTCTCTACAGCATTGTTTGTCGGGAGATTGGGGGGTCAGAACCCACATCCGTTCCCTTTTCCTTTCCTGATCAGCACGAAGGATGCGCACCAAGGAGACTGGGAACGCCCAGGAGCTATTCTCTTCGGGGAAGTCCTGGGCAGAGAAGCGCTCAGAAGGCGACAGCAGGTACGATGCAGTGACTGCATCGAGCAACATGCGACATACAAATATGACCATTTCACCATTGTCTTTGGACATACTCTATCTGAATCCACTGATCTAGTTCATGAAATCTGTCCCTTCTCAATTTCTTTGGAGGTCCAGACAGGACACAAAGTCCTTGAGAAAGAATTCTTGACACGCTTGGAGAACACTCCGAACAACTTCGAACCCGCCATCTTCAGCGTCGCGGAAAAAAAAACATGCGGAAAATGGATGTCCCATGGTCTATCTCAGACCTCCTCCATCCTCTTCCACTCGATCTGAAGGCGAAGCCCGAAAAATGCCCATGCCCTTCCAGCACCACTCTTCCCACCATGAAATGCCCATGCCCAGCACTCTTCCGACCTATGCTGAAGCGAGCTCTCCTCGGTGCCCAAGAAGAGCATGTGCTCACAGAAATGTGCCAGTCCAGGAACTTCGTCCGGATCACTGAAGTAGCCTCGCTGGCTCGCGACTCGCCGCTGCGGTGGTCAACGAACGCCAAAGACCACACCGGTCTACGGCGGTGGTCAACGAACGCCAAACGGAAGTGGATTTTCACCGATCGTCTTTCAACTCTTGTCCTTTTCGCTCCAACCCACCTTCACCACAGAACGCCCCAAAACGGTGCGGGGACGCGTGAAACGCCCGCGCGTTTCGCGCCCGCGCGAAACGCCTCGCGCCTCGCGCCTACGTGCACGTCCAGTGCCGCGGCCGCCCGATCTGCATTGGGATCAGAGCAGCACAGCACGCGGAGGCCATTGCGCAGGGTCAGCGCCTGATAATTGCCTTCGGTGGAGCAGGAGAGTGGGGGTTCTGGAGGGAGGAGAAGAAGAACGTTCTTGGGTTCGGTCTGCGAGTGAACGGACCTGAGAGCGAGAGCCACGGCATCCTCACGGCATCCTCTGATGAAACGCACTGATGAAACGCACTGAACATCCTGCACCGCATTGGTTTGTGCCGGCAAACAGGACGAGATCCGACAGTGAACAAAATACACGCTGGAGTCTGGAGTTATGCCGGAAAAGTACCGTGCAATGTCATCATTTTACCCTAAGAATTCGGTATACCTTTGCAACACTTTGCAGCTTCAAGCCCTTTCTTGCTTTTGCCCATGTTGACCTCTCAAAATGCACACAATGGGCTCGGGCCTCGCATGTCGATGGTCTCGGCCCACATTTGGGTCTTTGTTCCATCTCACCATCCGATCGCCCAAACTGCGACCCAGCTGCGATCGTCCAAGGGACTTTTCTCCTTGGCGCTGCGGGCTGGAGACCACAAGTAAACACCGTCGAATCAGGTCAACAAGTTCCCCACTGTATTTTATACATTACTCCTGGCACAACATGTTCAATGACATGACCGCTAAAATACAGCTGACTCTCTGGCACCTCCAGATTTGCAAGCCTCAACAACGATGTCAAAAACCGCTGCACGCAGCATGGAAAATCATCACCTTCTCGCCCAGCATCCACCAACTCCAAACGCGCGTCTTTGGCGCGTCCCGTCTTCGCCCGCGCCGCGCGCGGGCGCCGCGCCGCGAGGGCGGCCGCAACGGCGGCGGAGGCACTGAGCTGGCGTCGCCTTAGGGAGCCGCACAAACCTCGTCCACCTTCGATCTGAACGAACGAGACCAAGGGCATCAACTACGAACGCAGCCAGGACGCTACCTTCGGGGCGCTGGCCTTACGAACGTAACTAAGAAGCTACGAACGTCACGTACGTAACAAAAGGGCATCCATCTGCTTTCGCCAAGGTACGAGATTCGGTTGTGCCTCGGTTCAGGTCCACCCGACTCGGCCCCCCGAAGTCGCCAAGTCGCCCCAGGGCGCCGCTGTCGCCTCGCTGCCCTTTGCGCTCGCGGCCGCTCGGCAGAGCCTGGCGAACGCTGCCCGCCCGGTGGCGAACGCGGCCCGGTGGCACGCTGCCAGGCGAACGAAAGAACGAGGCTTTGAATGAATACATTGGAAGCCAAAGAGGATGAATGGATATGGATGTCGCGAGAGAGAGGATGTATTCTTGCCTCTATCAAGAATGAACGTCAGAAACATAGCAAGGCTATAAGAGGTGGGCTTCATTCAAGCTACTCCAGAAAGGGAAAGGATCTAACATGGACTGTGGCTCAAGCAGAATGGCTGCTATGCTCGCAAGCAGAATGGTCTACAAGGTTCCCCATCTCCAAAGAGACTCCGAATGTCGTCGGAGACGGGCGCTGCTTCGCGCTGCCGGACAAGTTGTCATAA